TTTTGTAAAAATATAAAAGAATATATCATTGAAGCTTCAAAATTTAACGGTTTAGATATAACAATAGAAGAACTAAATAAATTTGTTGCCATTATTATTCTTTCTGCGTTCAACAAAAGAACATCTGAAAAAGATTATTGGTCCAAAAATGAGTTACTCGAGTCCCCAGTAGTTAGATCATTGATGTCGTTGAAAAAGTTTTTGAAAATCAAATCAAAAATCAAATGCTCCAAACCTACAGATAAAAATAAAAAAGATCGTGCTTGGAGAGTTAAAGCTATATTAGAAATTTTTAGGAAAAATATAAAACAGTTTGGTTTTTTTCAGACAGGATTATCCATAGACGAAATGATAATTAAATTTTTTGGTAGACTGTTGATCAAACAATTTATAAAAAATAAACCAACTCGATGGGGAATAAAAGAGTTTGGAATTTGTGGTGCTGATGGATACCTCTTTGACTGTGACATATACTGTGGCAAAGGCACTCATAATGATGAATTGTCAAGTATTGCTCTAGGAAGCCAAGCTGTTTTATCTATGAGCGAAGCTTTACTTTCATCAATTCCTAGAAAGAAAATTGAAGAATACCATCTTTGGTTTGATAATTACTACACAAATCCAGACTTACTTGTGCATTTAAAAAAGCTTGGCTTACGAGCTACTGGTGTAATTAGGAAAGATCGTATACCAGTAAAAAATAAAATTAATAAAAAAGCTCCTCGTGGAACTTTTAAAGTTTAATATGAAAAAAATAGCGGAATGAACTTCGTAACCGTGGTAGATTCTAAACAAGTTTCGATTATTTTAACTACAGCTGGTGTTACACCAACAAAAGAAGTGAAACGCTACTCCAAAGAAAAAAAAAATGAGAACTGACATTTCTATGACACTTGTGTTTTCACTTTACAACTTATTTATGGGAGGTGTTGACCTACACGATCAGTAATGTAGTGCTTTATTACCTATTATTAGAAGTAAGAGATGGACTTGGCCAATATTGATGAGAATTATCCAGTCTTCTATTGCAAATGCAGTAATACTCTATAATGCTTGTTCAGGCAAAAAAAAAGTAAGCGCAAAGAAATTCGCTTTGAGTATTGTAGATAGTTATGTCAAAAACGCTAAATTAGGTGATTTGAAAAACCATAATTTGAACCTAACTATCAGAAGAAGAGCTTGCAATGGACAAGGATATGCTACTCGTACGTTTTACATGTGCAAAGAGTGTAAAAAGTATTATTGTAGTCAATGCTTTGCTAATTTACACAAGTAAATAACTGGTAACAAATGATTGTCAAAAAGAAATATTTCTAAAAACAAAAATTGAATACAAAAAAATACAAAAAAACAAAAATTACAAAATACAATAATACAAACAAAAATACAAACAAAAAAACTATTAAAGTGGAGATTTTTTAATTTAAAAAATTTTATTTAGCTGCGTAAATTTGCAAAACTTGGATTGTATTTCCGTTACATTTTCGGTTGAATTCAAATACATACCAGCCATAAAATCACTAAGAATTGTCAAAAAAACATGTTTAGAGAGAAACTTAATTATTATAAAATTTTTCAAAAATTTTCAATTTTTTATTTTTAAAAAAATTTTCACATTTCAAAAATTCTCACATGTTTCTTGACCACTTCTAAGCACTTTTTATTCTATAATATTTTTTTCAAAAGTTGATATTTTTCGAGTAAAAAAATCATGAATTTCTAAATTACACTACGATACAAAAACCGCCATATTTTTTTTTTTAATTAACATTTTTTAATAAAGTCGAATGCGCTTGAAAGATAATTGTCCCATGTCGCGAAAAAAATTATTTAGGGAGCCTATTTTATGGTATATTTCTTTTCAGCAGAGCGAAATTTGGAGAAAAATTGAAAAAAATTTGGAATTTTTTCGAAAAAATCGGCCATATTTTTTTTTCTGTCAAGATTTTCAAAAAAACTTGGTGATTTTTCGAAAGAGCATACACTAAAACATAAGGAAACCAAATTTCATCCAAATCTATGGAGAATTGTACGAATGGCATAATGTCAAATCGAAGCATTGCAGCCATGGACGTTTGCCACTTAATGGGTTAATGCATTCCTCATCGCGTTAAATTTATATTTTGACGAATATTGTTCACAATATTGATGAGATCAACCGTTCTCTCGATTATGACTTTCATATTTTCGTAATATAAATTTTGTATTCAAAACCCTGGTGTCATGTATGAAACGATAATTTTGTTCTTTGATTTATTGCTTAAGCATCAATCGATGAATAGTTTGACAAAATTATTTTCGAAACGCACATGCGCAAAATTATGTATGAGAATTGTTGTTCTCTTATTAGTGCAATAAGACTTGTCCTGTTGTGACCCGGGATTGTAAAAGAGATACAATTACTTTTTAGGTTTCGGTGATACTTCCGCCATTGACTAAGCTTTTATAAATGCGAGCTCTCGTTAACATGTATGATCGACTGCATATAACATTGATCATGTAAATGGTATTGCGTTTTACCACGATTATACAAATTCACATCGCAAACGTCCCTTTCGATATTATAATTTAGATTGATAACACTAATAGTGTCGTTCTTGTTGAGTCGCATCTAGGGATTAAAATTTTCGTCGATACCAATCAAATTTTATTTTCGGTGTCAGTTTTTACGATTAGTTTTATTCATCCAAAAAATTAAAAAATCTATGAATCTCAAAATATCCACATTCTCTATCGGAAACGACTACACGTGTGGATGAAATTCATGACCTTCAGTACGTTTAGTGCCGGAGTACTTGTTATCATATTAATTATTCAAACCATAAAAAAAATAATCGATGTCCTTATCAATGAAATAACTCTACATAGCATTTATAGATGGTCTTTTCATCTAATTGGAGCCATATGGAATAGTCCAACCACCTTATTGGTTCATTTAGCACCAAAACTTACAGAAATGAAAGAAGACGTAGAATCACCAGTGAATACTGCCACCATTTCTAAACAAGATTGCAAAGGGGAATTCTATCCAATTTTACATACAATAGAAAATGAAGCAGCACAATACAATCAGAATAACTCTACTCTATCATCACAATCTTAAGCTCTCAAGCAATCACTTGGGTTTCTTCCATGTTAAAGTTAGGACATTCAAAGTTTTGTAAAAGTGAACATTTTAATTACAGCGTGGTACGACAAGATCCTTATAAATAGGATTAAAATCCGATTGCCCTTCCTCGCTGCACTCCTCTAGCAATCGTTTAAGTGTGGGAGTGGGACAGCAGGTCGTAATTTAGTTTTTTTTTAATCTTAATTAATTAATAGAAATCAAAATTAAGAACAAAATGAGAACCTTAGGCTATCTGCACCTACCCTAAGTTGTGGTTATGGTGATCAGCCGTAACCATGCGTGCCAATGCGTCACCTTGACGTTCCTGTCCAATGCGGATGTTGGTGCTACATCTGTTGCCATACACTAATTGCTGGACACTAATACCGTATTGTCTCGAAGTAACTTGCACTATCCTCGCTATTTTATCGCAAAACTCCTTACTCGCACTTACAACTACACTCGTCTCACTTGCCAGTTCTATCAATACTGCTACTACTTTCCACGCACGCTTCCTCGCTCTCCAAATCGCTAGCTCGCGCGCCTCGAGTGCTACCGAATCGCAAACGAAACGATACTTTTAATTGATTACCGTTGCAAGTTTTAAAAATTCGACTAGAATCTTTTTTAAATTCATTATGACAATGAATAAATGTATATAGAATTACTAATTAATCCACATGGCACATCATATATTTCTAATGATTCCACATCGAAAATGAATATATTCATCTGGAATTTCTAAAAATGGCATCTGGATTTACTAACAAATTGAGATGGAAAATGAATAAAATTTATCTGGATTTACTAATAAATCCACCTGGATAACGGAAAAAAATGCATATGGAATTTTTAAAAATCCATCTGGTATTTCTCACAAATTACATCTGGATTTTATAAAAATATCCATCTGGAGTTCATCACAATCCACCTTGATCTTTTTTAAATATCTAGGTGGATTACGCATAATATCTATCAAGAAAAACTTCGTAGAATTCCATAGAAATCTATAAAGAATCCATAAAAATCTACATAGAAATCCAGTTGAATATCCATGTGGAAATCCAGCGTGAATTTCCAGCTGGATTTTTTAGATAGGGTAATGTTGATTAACGAATGGGGAGGATTTATCTTCGAATTTTAGCGCAGTAATTAAGATATAAACTAGTGTAATAAGTAGCTAAAGTAAATGTCATAATCACCATGAACAAAAAGAAAAGGAAGTAGTCAATAATAGTAATAAATTATGCAAATTTTACTTATTTAATTTCATTAAAATTTTATATAAATTTTATATACATAGAAAATATCGAATTTTTAGCTTGATTAATATTATTTCACTTGTAATTTGGTAATTTTTGAAAGAGAGAGAGAGAGAGAGATAAAGGTCAAAGAGTAGAGAATATGCAGCCTTAGTATCAAGCAATCAAATAAAATAAAAAGTAAGTGAATTTTATATGTGGCCATATTTTCTTTTCTTCCGTTCCTTTTCATTTCTTTCTCTCTAGTTCCCCTTTCTTTCTAGAAATTCGTTAAGCGTGAGTTTGGTGAATTTCTCTTAGAGTCACTTAAAAACACATTAAGTGAGAGTCTGGTGTATTCAATAATAACACTCAGTTATTATTTCCTGGTTATTGTTGTAATTATTTTGAGCGTGGCTCAAAATCGAACATGCAGTACTCGATCTTCGGCAAATAGTCTGATGAGGTCAGTGAAATTGATGACAAAACATCGTTAACAAACAATATAGTGATAAATTTCATTTACTGACCTACTTTTCCCTCATTGATCAACATATCTACTAAATCTGTATACTAATTTATTATAATACTTCTATTACTCGGATAGTATAAAACGATTAATTTAGTTTATTACTTTATTTTTGTTATAGCAACTGGGCACTGATATATTTAATTACGAAGTGATGTTAGACTATCAAGTTAATCAATACGTGGCTCCTGATGGAACAAAACCTTTTCAGAAAGCGCCAAACGATCAAAGAGCTGTAGTTTCATGGATAAAAATAAATTATCATTGAACTAATTTCTAAAATAAAAAAAAACAATTTGTTTTATTATATAATGCTAAATATATAAAAAGCGAATAAAGATCTATTGGTTGAAATATAATATTTTATAGCTAATTTTATTTTATACTGCAATTTATTGATTTTATATTTTGTAATCATAAAAGATATTTATTTTATGGAAGTACATTAATCGAGCTTTTCTGTATCATTCATTAGTGAAAAAAAAACACTACGCACCGGAAATAGTACAGTAATTTCATTAAATGGAAATATCTTAACTTAAATATAAAGCTTTTAATTTTTATTGTTGTTGATTTTGATAAATGTCTATTATTTTTATTTTATTCTACTACACTCCAGTCATTATTTCAAGTTAAACCAAAAATCATAAAATAGAATAGAATGATGTTATATTCCTGGTTTCTCTTCTTCTGATGATGGGGCACACTCCTCTGACTTCTTCTTAATCTTGTAGATTGAATGCAATACGTGCTTGAAGCACTACTCACACCATACAAGTCGAGCGGCGCCGTGTTTAAGCATTCAAATTAATTTCACTAGAAACCATTTCAGAAAATGAAATTTATTCACATCGATTTTTTTTCACTCTGTCTACCTTTTTCTTCGTCGTCTGCACAAAGGGGAAACTTCCTGAGTAGGAAAACTACAAAAGCCACAGATCGGGGAAGCCTCAGATCAATGCGGGTCTCAGATCAATGATCTAAAGTGCATGAGCTATCAGATGAGCACTGTTAGATCACGCGTGAAAGCCCCCACCCCTCCCAGCACCGACCCAATCTAAAAATGCGTTTTAAATCTAAAAATTTATTTATGTGTAATTGAATTAAATTTATTTATGTAATTTATTTATATAATTTATTTATGTGTACAGTCGAACCTACGGCACTGCACCCTTCGGCACTGCATTGCCCGAGTCACTGCGCGCCTCTATACCCTAGAAACTGCACGCTGCGCAGTACCGTCACTAGTAGCCCACTCACCGGGGGGGCCCTCTTAACTTTTTTATTAAAATTAAAAAAAGTAATTTTAATTGAATTATTTTAATGCCGACAAAATCCAATATTGTTCTATTAAATAAAAAAATTATCCTGCTTAATTAAACAACTACGACCAATTGCGCGAAAATTTTTTTGGGCCTCTTTTAGTGCTACATATGCCCGTACCTGGCGCAGCGCTGTGATTGGCTACCGCCAGGGTGCAGTACCTTGGGCCGGCTACTCCCGAAAGCGTGCAGTGCCGTAGGTTCGACTGTATATATAATGTAATGCAGATTTATGAGGGTCGTTTGAAAAGTCCGTGCAAAAATAAAAAATGCTTGATTTTTTTTAATAAATCTTTTTTTTTTTCAACATAGTCTCCTTTTAGGCTTATACACTTCATCCAACGCTGCTCTAGTTTGTCTCTTCCAAATAATAGGATTTGTCCAAGTCTGTAAAATAGGCATTCGTTTCTGCAATCACCTCCTCGTTTGAATAAAATCTTTTCCACGCCAGCCATTTTTTCATATTAAAGAACAAATAGTAGTCCGACAGAGCCAAGTCTGGAGAATAGGGGGGATATGAAACGAGTTGGAACCCTATCTCCATCAGTTTTGCGGCCACAATAGCTGAGGCGTGAGCTGGCGCATTGTCGTGGTGGAAGAGGACTTTTTTGTGGACCAATCGTGGACGTTTCTGTATCAACTCGGTTTTCAAACGATCCAATAACGATGAATAATATTCGCCTGTAATAGTTTTACCCTTTTCCAGATAGTCGATGAAGATTATTCCTTGCGAATCCCAAAAGACAGTCGCCATAACCTTCCCGGCCGAAGGAATTGTCTTCGCCTTTTTCGGAGCAGATTCCCCCTTGGTAACCCATTGTTTAGACTGTTCTTTGGTCTTAGGAGTGTAGTGATGTATCCATGTTTCATCTACAGTGATGAAACGACGCTTACAGTCTTGCGGATTTTGTTGGAACAGCTGCAAACCATTCTTGCAACACTTCACACGATCTCGTTCTTAGTCAATAGTGAGTAATCGCGGCACCTATCTAGCGGATAGCTTTTTCATGTCCAAATGTTGGTGCAAAATATTATGTACCCGTTCGCTCGAGATGCCTACAGTACTAGCAATCTCACGCACCTTCACTCTTCTGTCAGCCATCACCATATCATGGATTTTAACAATAATTGCTGAAGTAGTAACCTCAAGAGGGCGTCCAGAACGTTCAGCATCTTTTGTGCTCATATGGCTACTCCGAAAATTTTGAAACTACTTATAAACCATTCTAATCGAAGGTGCACAATCACCATAATGTTTATCAAGCTTTTGTTTAATCTCCTGAGGCGTTTTGCCTTTGAAAAAGTAATGTTTAATCAATACACGAAATTCTTTTTTGTCCATTTTTTTACAACCACTCGATTTCTTTGATTGAAACGAATGTAAAACGCAAAGTAATTGGCCGATCTGGCTGAAACTTGGTGTGTGCTCTTCCAAGATATGCCACTAACTGAAAATAACCTTGATACGCACTAGTAGCGCCATCTCGCTGACTTTGCACGGACTTTTCAAACAACCCTCGTACTTATAGCGAAACGTGTAAACATGCACTGAAATGTTAAACAGTAACCATTATTTAGTTTGGTCGTTGGCATCGATCCCACAATGTCCATTGATGTTTTGAAAAATGGTACTGGCGGAGAATCTGTGACTACCATCTTCTGTTTAGTTTTTTCACGTTTTGTTTGACAATCAACACATCGTTGTATGAAACTAAGTATATCTTCTTTAAGATATTCCCTGTTTGATTTGTGTTGAATACGATTAAATGTTTTATTAACACCCGCGTGTCCCCCGACTGCTGAACAATGTGCTTCTTGTATAATCTCCGCCCTCTTTTTAAGTAGGGGATGTTTTACCTGTCCGGTGCATACTATGACCTTGACATCTAGTTTTCGAAGTTTATCTCGTATACAGTTAATAATTTTACTGAACAACACGTTCTCTATGTTTTCACTTTTGGCTAAGCTAAAAGTGACTATCTTGTTTTCATCAATGATGTTTCTTAAATTCATGAGTAATGTTTTTAGGATAATAATTATATCCTCGGTGCTTTCTCTTCTAATGTAAGTAATTCTATTGGGTTACGAGACAAAACATCTGCGTTTATATTTGTAGCTCCGGCTTTTTATTTAATTTCATATTGAAAATCTGCCACTTTCAGTCTCATTCTAGTTACTCGTGAGTTAGAATCTTTGTGCGATCTTAATCTAATTAGAGGTTTATGATCAGTAATTGACGGTAAATTTTTTTGCGTATAAGTACGGTCGAAATTTAAGAATTCCGAACACAATGTTAACATTTCTTTCTCGAAAGTGATGTAGCGTTTTTCTGCGTCATTTAACGCTCGTGATGCATAAGCTACTGGTTTATCAAAGTCGTCCTCATCCCGTTTTTGAGATAAAAAGTATCCTACGCAGCGTCTGTTGTTAATCGCTTTTCTTAAACGTTCCATTAATTCAATAACACCCTCACAATGTTCCTCGATAGTCTTACTATGTACGCAAATATCATCGAAGAAGGTTACTACTCCTTTTATTCCTGTCGTTAAAAAGCGAATTAATGATAGAAAGTCCGGCGCACTTGTTTTCAATCCGAAAGGCGACCTTGTAAACTGGAAAAGGCCTTGGTGGCATTGAAATGCTGTCACCTGCCTGTCCTCCTTTTTAACTAGTCAATGATGATATCTTTAATAAAGGTCAAAGACCGAGTATATTGTAGATCCTTCTAGTCTACATTCGGCACTGGAAAATTGTAATCCGAAATCAGTGTATTTACTGCACGGAAGTCTATTACTGGTCTTTTCTTGATTACGCCTTTAGCATTCCTTTTCTTATCTACGAAAAATATTGGAGACGAGTGCTGACTAAAAGACCATTCAATCATACCTTGGTCGAGCATATTTAAAACTTGATCATCAATTTCTTTTCTTAACTCCGGGGATTGTCTGAAAGGTTTTATACGAATTGGTACTTTCGACGTTAATGGAATTTCGTGTTGGAGTAGATTAGTATATCCTAATTTATCTCCAGGTAAGTGATATCTGTCGTTGAATTTTTTTATTATATCAACTGTATGTTCCTTTTCATTTAAATTCAAATGATCTAGTTGTGACATGCCGATTATTCTTGATGCTCTATCTTCCGTATTCTGATTCCTACTTAATTTGGCTTTCCGCACGTGTTCATTGTTAGTAGGAGGCATTCGTGTCTTCCCCTTCAATAAAAATTTTACGGTGACCAAAAGTTGTAAAACCATTCGTTGTTTATTGGACCTTTGAAGGTGGCTTTTAGTTTTATATTTTTCGGCTATTTGTGCCACTCCCTCGAATAATTCTTTAATGTTTTCTTTATCTCTGATTTCGTCCAATGTTTCGACCAGGGCGATTGCAAAATTAATTACTGATAAAAAGTTGCTCACGGAATATGGTTTATTACTTGTATATGAATTCGTATTATTTAATACGTTAATACCTTTATTAACCCTTTCCCATAGGGTTGTTTCGTCAGTATTATCGTAATAATCTACACTTTTGCGATCGTTGCGACTACTTTCTCTAATTTTCGACTGATAATATGGTCGTACACTCAATTTATTTTCTGTTATTGAGAGTTTCGTGGGATCAATTTTATCATCTACAAAATTTTTATGGAGGGTGCTTTCATTTGGCTTTGCTCAGCCCTACTTATTATATTGTTCTGAATAAATAATGAATTAGTTTTCGCGGAACTTGGGCGTGTACTCCCGCATTCTTTGTTGACAAATGCTAAATTACAATCTGAGTACGTACTTTGGTTTTTCTAATTTCTGATTTTTTACAATTTTCAACATTCGAATTTCTAATTTCAGATGTACAGATTTCAGGTTCACTAATTTTAACTTCGCTAGCTTTTTCCAGTCCAATTTCGAAATTACAAATCTCAGATTTCTTGTGTGGCAATTTACAAACTTACAATTTTTGCAATTTTACTCCAATTTTATTTGAACGATTGTCTTCGTAACCGCTCTGTCTAATTTTCTTGACA